TCACCTGAGCCGAAAGATCAAGTAAGCTATTTTGATCACATTTTGTACATCGTCCGCCCTTTTAGCTGTCTAGCCGTCTGTCCGTCGGTTCACTTTTTACATTTTTTTCTTCCTCTCAGGAATCACTGGGCCAATTTATACCAAACGTAGACAAAGTTGGTTGACAAGCAAGTTGGTGAAACAAGAATATCAACAGTCTCGTTTAAAGTCATCATTTCGTGAATTCTATGGTCGATACAATGACCTTGTCAGCAAATACAATTTATCATTGAATGAAATGCTGACTGACGTTTTTCATACCAATTGTTAGTCCAATATTTATACACTGAATTGACTACGGATCTTTTTTCCGTTATTTCCTGATTATGACAACGAGCACACGGCGGGTGTGACCGGTCGGCAGGGGATGCTCACTCCTCCATGGCACCTGATCCCACCTCTGATGTTTCGGAGGTCCGTGTTTGCTCTGCTCTTATTTTGTATATTTGTTTAATGGATGTTGAGATTGAATATTGTTCGTTATTTCCATATCCTTCTTGGTACAAAGCATCCTTAGATGAAGGGAAGTTTAAATTGTTAAAATGAAGGACCAATACTTCTCACAAGGGGAGATCATCAAGAAAAGGCAACAATATTAATAGCCTGGTGTCATTAAAAAATCTTCTCAAGGACTATTTTACTAGAAATGCTGACACTTAGCATCCTAGGGTAGTGTAGATTCTAAGTTGTTCAAGTCATCAAGTCATGACCCTCAAGGGTAGCATGGGGCCACGATTGGGAAACAATATTTTACATAAAAATATATAGGGAAAAAAACTTAAACAATCTTCCTCTCAAGAACCACTTGGTCAGAAAAGCTGAAACTGATATGAAAGGATTCTGAGATAGTGTAAATTCAAAATTGTGCAGATCAATACCCACAGGTAAAGATGGGGGCTTAATAGGGAAACAAAGTAAAACAATGGACCTTAAATGCTGAAATGTATGTGATAGCATCCTGGAGTAGTGTACATTCCAAATGCTTCAAATTATGACTTCCAGGTGTTGAGCGGGGCCACGATAGGGAAACAAAGTTACACATAGAAATATAAAGGAAACATTTAAAAATCTTCCTCTCAAGAACTACTGGGCCAGAAAAGCTGAGACTGATGTGGAAGCATCTTTGGATACTTTGTAGTGTAAATTCTAAATTGTTAAAATCAGGTCCCCCGGGGGAAGGGCGGGGCCACAATGGGGAATCAAAGTTTTACAGAGACTGAAATATATTGGAAATAGAAATATATAGAAACAATCTTCTTCTCAGGAACCACTAGGCAGGAAAAACTTAAACTTATATGGAAATATCCTTGGGTAGTGTAAATTATAAATTGTTAAAATTGTGACTGGAAGGGGGTAGGCGAGGTAACAAAAGGTATTACAAGGGCGGAAATGTGGTAAAGAACGGCATCCCCGTAGTTTCTGAGATGAGCAATGTTTCCCTTGGGCCTCTTGTTCTTATAAATACTCACCAAATATTTGGAGGCAAGCATTGTGCAATGAAACCTTAGTCAGTCGCTTTATTAGTTTGCTTTAGTATGTCAATCTGTCTCACTTTTTCCACACTCTTTTGTAAACGCCTGCAAGTATTGATTTGATGTTATATGAGTGTACTAGATTAGCTATAAATTAACTTAACTTTTTTTCTCTTTATTGGTTTTTGATTGAATTATGGCACTTTTTCCTTTTATACTGAGATTCAAGATTGGTCATGGAGACCATAAACTAAGAACAGACTTAAGTTACAATTTTGATAAAGAATAGTTTGTTATTTATTAGGCATACATGTACTTTACCAAGAATTTGCAAGTTTGGATAACTATCTAAACATACAGTAAAAATTTTATTTTCTTTTCCAAAAGATTTTAAAAGTTATTTTGATTTGAATTTCTTACTTAAGTCTGTTCTCCATTTTTGATCTTGGGGTCCGGTCGTGTTGCAATGAATTAATGTTCCTAATGATATTGTCATGCTAAAACTTATTAATTTGAAATGTGTTGTTTATAACTTTATAGTGGCAAACTAGAATATAACGGAAAAGGCAGATTACTTGAATTCATTGCATGACTTTAACAAAGAATAATTTTTTACCCCACGATTAAAGCAAAACAGAAACATTTACCCCATGATTTAAGCTAAACAGGAATATCATTAGATTTTTCTTATCTTATGAAAGGCCATGAGAAATATATTTTTAATGGACTCAGTAAATGCTGTAAAAGAATGGGTGGACTTAACTGGCCAGAAAAAATGCCGTAATTACTTTAAGTTTCATAAAATGTTTATTTTTTTTTCATCATATAAACTGTGTATTCGTGGTACGGATGTGAATTTAAAACACTCTTTTCGAGGTAAACTAATAAATATCGAAAGCATGGTGCCTGAAGATTTCTTGAATATCAATAGATAATCAGGGTCACGCGTTTTTCATCGTCTGAATACATAGTCAGCACATGTTTGTCGGCTGTTCTTAAGAAAACTGTAGTTGTATATTGGACAAAAAAAAATGTTATATTAAAAGGAGAAGAGCCGACAAAAGTGTGCTCATACTTAATTTAACAAAAAACATGTTCAAAACAAACTTCTCGCTTCCATTGAAATGTCTTCGATTGACCTGTTAAATATTACAATTCGTCACGTGATGTAAACAGTTACATTGTATTCTTCACCCTTACCTCGATCTAAATCATGTCTGAGCGAGCTTTGTTGCCGTTTTCATAGCTAAGCAAATTAAAAATTGTTTTAATTTTGCGTGTCATCATTTTTAAAGTAATTTAATATTGACATCGCTGTAAAATGCTAAACACGTATTCGAATTTTTGGAAAGAGAGAGGGATAGGGAGAAAGATGTCAACAATGACACCGATTAATAGCCCCGCCTCCTATAAATATTGATTGTGTGACATAAAAACCACTCCGGGTACATGTCGAATTCCGGAAGACGACACTCAAGTATCGTTTCTTCAATTTTGGTACACGACAACAGGGCATTGATTTTGCACAAATGTTCCACCTAACATAATCAAGTATATGTTGCTCTTTCAATTGCACAAAATTTATTTTGTATTCACTTCGAATACAGATTGTAAGAGGAGTCGCACAAAGATCCAAAATAGGGCGTTAAGTCCACCCATTCTTTACATGTAAATTTTTAAACAATTACGATTTTTTTAATCTTCCAACACCATAAATGACATTCCTTTAATATTTCATTTAAAACGGATGCTTATTTAATTATACAGATTATAATAATTTGGGTAGATGGCATCAAAAATATTTGATACACTTTGCTAAATACCATACGTTTTCTGCGAAAATATCAACAATTAAACCTTTCAAAATATAAGGACATTAATTTCAAAGGTAAAATAAAAGTAGAAACCAAAAATAGAAACATTTTATGAAAATGGTTGTGATTGTTGCATAAGACAAAAATAACTTTTTAGAGGTAAATAAAAAAAGATGTACAGTCAAAGGTTTAGAATCTTATCCTCTCTTATTTCTCAAAGATGTCTTTCAGACTTACACAGCTTAAGGTTTGTCCACACTTACAATTTTACTGGTAAAAAGTACAAAATTTTATTTATTTTCATTTATTTAAGTTTAAAATTGCCAAATATTTAAAAAATGTATAGGTCTCCATACTATTTAAGATGAGAAACATAAATAAACAGAAGCATATGACAACCATAAAATAAAATTAAACATTTTTTAAACAGTATCATAAATATTATGTAAAATCTGATTCAAATACATATAGTTCTGCTTTTGAAAGTCCATAGGTACTTGCCACTTTTGAATTGTGAATATCAGGAAACTATTTTACATTAGAAGTACAATAAAGAAAATTCCTGAATGGAGCTACCTGAGCAGGATGTCTTGCCCTTGCCAGAAATTTTGAAATATTGAAAAATAAAGGAAATACGCATTTTTATTTTTTTTTTTTACTTTACAATAGTTATCATTACAGGTATGGAAATCATTCTTCCTGAATACATTTTTTTCTTTTTTCTGTTAGGTATGAATTTAATATGATAATATTTTTTTGCAAAAACTGATGACATCGGCGGAGGGTGGAATTACCTTAAGGAAAATGTTTAAATATGCAACTTCAGTTCCGTAGAACTTACTATCTGAAAATTTTAAGTGTCAAACTTACTTTTTTCAGTCAGTTTTATTCTTTGATAGTCTTTTGGAGCAGTTTGTGTACAACTTGCTTAAACTTGCTTCATCTGGTTAGTTATGAATTCTGTACTTTGTTTCTGTGCTCGAGCATGACTATACGAGGATTGATCTAAAGTAATGTCACTACTCTGATAAAATTGCTACTATTCGACGTAAATCAACGAAATTATACATGATTGATGCTATATTTATTATAATCAGTGATGAAAAATTCAAATAAAAATGATTCATACTTTTTAAAATATGGAATTATATACAAAGTGCAATTGAGGTATTCGCCGCACCTAAATAACGTCATATGACGGATACGCACCGTCATACACTTGAACGCTTCCCCTTTGTTTCATAAAAAATATACATGTATTTGAGATTTATGAACACAATCACATATATTTTCCTTTGTAGCTCACCTGATCCGAAGGCTCAAGTAAGCTTTTCGGATTACATTTTGTCCGGCGTCCGTCCGTCTGTCCGTCTGTTCTTACGAGAGGTACATTGTGGGGTAAAATTAACGTATTTTCCAGCAGTGTGGGGTTTTTTGGGTACTGTGGGGTTAACCCCATAATGAAGAGGTCTAATTACGTTCAAAATTACTCTATGAGGTCGAAAAAACTAAAATTAGATTTAACCTCACAAAGACTTTGTCCAAATTTTGGACATGTCCTTAGCCCAAAACGCTCAGACATTCAGAAATCTGCTGTTTAGAGGAGTTCGGTAATTGAATCGAGGAGTTCCGTATACCTGAGCATGCGCATATATTTAAAACTAACTGCGCATGCGCAGAATACGGAAGTAGCTGTGTGGACATTTTGTATTAGCAGTGAGGAAATTCGGAAACACAAAAAGCAAATGCAGTAAGTCTTACTATTTTGTTGCACCACATTGAAAAAAAGCTTTGTAAGTTGTTTGATATGATTCATACGTACATTATGCAGTTGTAGAATTTATTTAAAGTCAAGGAAAGGACACTTGTAGTCCACATAAACACATACCGATTGAAAACGGGCTTTTGTGAAAAAAATTATAATGATTGAATGCACTGATAGTTCTTTTTTTAATCAGAGGTCTGCAATGAAAATCGACCGATACCCGGGGGTCGGGCTAGTGGTTTTCTGCAAGAGGGTCGCCCCGTTGGCCAGTAAAAAAAGATAATATTATTTATACACGTGCAATACATGCAAAGCACACCTGGTACGTATTTTCACTCGTTTTTTGCAACAAAAATCCAAACCTTTTAAATTTTCCATATAACATGCTCCAACTGTCAATAAATCTCCATAATTTAATCCGTGTTGGAGTACTACTTGGCTTATTTACTTCAAAATACGATCGTGTTTTTTTTTCTAAATTCGAATTTTCTCTATATCTATGGTAATTACATGCAGATATCTCATAACATAAATACATGTGATTCTTCCGATGGGAGACAACATCTCTGGATTTTTCACGCCTCTTCCGCCCCTTCCGATTAATTTTTAAATCATCCGTGTTTAAATTTTTTTCAAATTGAATATTTTTGGCTTTAATTTTATCCTGTTTCGTAGTATAATTGCTCTCTCTCTCTCTCTCTCTCTCTCTCTCTCTCTCTCTCTCTCAATCATTCTAGATACGTACCGATTGTTTATCTACTCTTCACACATTTGTTTACATGTACTTGAAATTGTACCTTAATCTATAGAGAAAAAATCAGAATGGAAAAATGGAATTAATGTCACTGCAATAAATTTTCGCAGCAAGTAGGCTTCGAAGGAATCAACATGGGGTTGTATAATTAGGTTGTAAAATTTAGTGGTATATCAATTTGATAAATGACAATCAATGTAGGACATTTTAATCAGTTGTTTAAATACCCAATATGTCACATTGCTTACACAGTCGCTTGTGTAATTATGTGCCGGATAAAAAAATTCACCTATTAAAGAAATTAAACAAATTACCTTTAGATACGTTTATATAACTCTCTTTGTGTTAATGGAAAAAATATAATTGTCCTGTAAGATCAATTTGTACTTATTTTTCAAGATCGACCATTGAAAATTTAAAAGAATTAAATCACAATTAATAGTTTTTCTATAGCTAAACTTAAAGAAATTCAAGCTTAAAGCTTCATTTTGTAATTTACAATATTAATTCATCATTACTTTGAATATTTACAGTGAGAGTATGTAACTTAGCTAATACCGGTCTATCAGTATTTTCACACCTGTTAGATTTTGATTCCGTGTAGAAGCTCTAATTGCAACTCTTGTCAAAACAAATGATTTGTATACTAGCATGATTATCTCGTGAATTTCACCATCAGGAGACGATCGATAGGGATTAGTTACGCTCTGGTGCACTTGACACCTGTGTTGTAGTAGAATGATTTTAAACTGCGTTAATACAAATCTTTGGTCAATTGAATAATTTTTTGTGTGTGTCTGTATGTTAGATAGAAATTCTGACAGCTTTATAAAAATAATATTAAAAGATTACCAGACTTTAAAAACTTCAGCAAAGTAGTTGATCGAAGATTAATTGAAAGGGGGGGGGGGGGGGGTGTTACACTGCTGATCATTACCTTAACATATTATAGTGAAGTTTTTAAATGAATTTTATTGACACTTACTGAAATAAATTTTTATACTTTATTTAATTCACCATTAAACTCTCTTTTAATTAAAGCTTTTATATTTTTTCTTATTTAAAAAATAGATAGTAGCAGGGACCTATATACTAAGTATACTTAGTATATAGGTCCCTGATAGTAGTAAGGCACATGTATTTCATCTTGAATGATTTGAATGTTATAAAGGAACACTCAGAGTTCCCGAAACTAGTCAAAAATATGTCCGACAATTGTCTTGTAAATATTCAAAATTCACCGGACAGTTGTAAAATTTACCGGACATTAATTTTTTTGTATGTAAATTTAACATATTATAGGATTGGAAATTGTAACGATATAATGAATGATATGTGTAAATAAAAAGATGGCAGATTTAAAAAAATATTGAAATATTTTGTATATGGCCTTTGTATGCAGGATTTGACGTCGCCGAAGGCGTGTGATGACCAACGCTTAATTCATGTATAAATTTATTATGTCCTTTCTGACAGATTTTTAAAATGTTTTTAAAAATAAAATCTGCAACACGACAACTCTTGGTTGATTGTTTGGAAAATATGTTGTTTTCCAGGCTTTTTTCTTTTGGATTTTTGTATTTTATGTGCCAGGCAAAATATTACGTAAAATATCAAACTCGTTTTAAAAAGCCTGGTAAAACGTCCGATATTTCTGACTAGTTAAAATTTATTATACAACCTCCATACAGTTAAAAATATGTACTAATGATATAAAGATATGCAAATTTATCATGAAAATGATGATTTTAAGTGAATTTGTTGTCGTTTTACTACATTCAAGTCAATCCGCTATTTTTAGAAAAGGGGAAAAACGCGCTTGTATTTTAAATGCTATCAAATACATTTTTAAAAAATCCAGAAGTTGGTATAATATTACCATGCTAATAGATTAAATTATAGAGAAAATAATAAATGGTAACAAATTGTCTGTAATCAAGCAGAAATAGCAGGCACTCTTGCAACCCTGCAAATTCGTCCTTCAAAACGAAAGTAGATTGTCACATTTTTTTTACTGTCAGAACTACAGAGTGCATATATTTATCATGGAAAATATTTGTTGACAGGGTTTTTAAAACTGTTTTTCCTCCCAGACTTATGGAAATTATTATTTTAATATGTAGCTTTTTATAGTAGACAATCAACGTCTACATTTTATTTAAACAAGTTCTGGCGATGCCCTGACGTTTTTTTTTTCATTCCTTTAGTTTTGCATTTGTTTATTGTCAGGACAATTGAATAAAATGATTTTGTTAAGATTATATGTAAAGGTTATACAGTCTGTAAAAAAAAAAAAAAAAAACATCGGACATTTTGACCAATAAAATAAAGATTTTACCGGTCCCATTCAAAGTTCACCGGGGATCCCCGGTGGACCGGTGCGTTTCTGGAACTCTGAACACTTATGAACAAAAGCCTTAAAAATTTAATTTGGAATTCTTTAATTTCATATTTTTTTTAAATAGGCATGGATTAATATATATATACACACATACAAAGGTTTTGTGAAATTGACATGTTTAATTAAATCAACTGTAGTGGTTATTGCTGTTTATTTATTGACTGACTGGCTACTTCTTGGGCAAACTGGAATAAGAGGCCACCTGTCTTAAGTGGCTAGTTTCTGGACTTCCCAAAGCTTAAAACAAGTTTGACTGTACTTTTTCACCTTTTACCAATATAAGAAAGTAGTTCACAGTACATGACAACTATGCTTTAAATAAATTTCGATGAATTTTAATTAGTAACTCGGGAATTTTTGTATGTGATATAAATAAACATTTGCTTCTGTATTCCTTTGTAGAGTTCAGATACTGAAAGTGAACATCAGTGGAACTTTGATGATCTAGGCCGCTCTATTTTTGCAGCAACACCAGCAGGCGTCGGACATTCATAAAGTTGAAAGAACAAACCTATGACTTGAACACACAATTTGTGATCTGAATATAGTTCACAAATTTAAGGAAAGCAACTATCAAAGACATCCAGATTGATGGTTAGTACATGTTATAAGTGCCCATAAAATCAAGACAACAATATTATTTTACAATAAATTAAAACATAACCTGTAAAAAAAAATTGAACATTATCATTGGGCCAGTTTCATTTGTCGCTGATCGACATACGCCGAATTGCGCCGGTCATATGACCGGCGTAGAACGGCTAAGAGGCAAATGAAGTAAACCGGCGAAATCATTTTTTAAAAATGAATAATTACGTTAAATGATAATCAATTAAAAAGTTTTATCATTTTTTACAATATATCTAAGTTAGAATAATTCGAAATTCAATTTAAAATAAAACCATGGACCTCATGAAAAATTTTATTTTTCAGAAAATAAAAACATATTTTAATTATATGAATACAGATTTGCTCAAATTATGCAAACAAACAAAGAACATGTCATCTGTTAAAAAGTATCTGCATTTTCATTTGTTTTCTCTTCCCGCCATATTTCTAAGACCGGCGATCTCCTCGCCGGTCATTTGGACCGGCCTTTCGGCGTACGCCGGCGAACCCCCCCGGTCAAATGAAGTAACAAGCTGGGTTACAAAGGTAAAGCGGCGCATTCGGCGTATGCCGGTATGAAAAATGAAATCCTACCATTTAGAAATATATTTTACTGTTTTTTTTTTTTGACAGGTATACATGAAGTATGAATGAAAACTTTTTAGAAGAACAAGCACAATCCCATTCATTCTTGCCATTGTCTGCTCCAGACGGCGACATTTAGGACCTGACTTACTTTTCAGAAAAAAAATGAATCGATTTTTGATAGTTGATCTTAAAAAGATAACATTTTCAGGGGTCGTGGATTGAATGACATTTTCTTGCAATCTCCCCTGCAGAGTTGTCGTTCGTTCCTCTCTCAGACACCTCTGCAATGGGCTCCCTCGATTTTGACATAAGATAAAACTTGATATTTGAAGAATTGTTTCAATTCAAATCAATAGTTCTGGATTGATTTAGTAAATATTTATCTCAAAATTCAGACATAAACATAGAAATTGAATTGTAATAATTAAAACAAACGCACTATTTCTCGTGTTTAAAACTGTTATACGCGAGCCAATGACAGAGGTGAATGTATGAGCCGATGGTAAAAGTGATTTTCTTGATGGGCAACTAGTTGCAAATTTTGGATGTCTATTCTCAAGTTACTGCAAACCTTAAATTAACTTCTTGATTATTAGTTAAATGTGAGACCGTTTCTTACTTGAAGTAATCATTTTTTGAATTGAGCTATGTAATCTCTGATTACTTATTTTTATGAGTACTGTTCAGCTTTAAGGCAAAAGGATCTTTTATGAACATTGCATTCGTCATGGTGAATTTCTATACATTAAGTAACAGTCATAGTTTTGCTTTTTTAATTAGCGATCTCATTTTAAATGTGAGAAATAATTATTAAACTGAAATGTTTATTTATGTTGTTTGATTTTTATTTTTTTGAAAATTGTAAATCAATTGCATGTTGTTGTTTTTTTTCATTTTATTTTAGGGGATGGGAGTGGGGGTGCAGCTTTTTGAATAATGAAAAGCAGCCTAGATGGGGAGGATTCTGATTGGCTAGAGAAATCACGTGATCAGATTTATTGGTGGAGGGGATAAATGGGTCAACTGAGTGGTACCCTAACCCTAACCCCCAACCCCAGCCCTAACCCCAATAACCCCCCCAATAACCCCCAACCCTAACCCAGCCCCCTAACCCTAACCCTAACCCTACCCCTAACCCTAATCCTTAGCCCTAACCCCTAACCCTAACCCCTTAGCCCTAATCCCTTACCCTAACCCTAACTAGCCCTAACCCTAACCCTAACCCTAACCCCCTAACCCTAACCCTAACCCCCTAGCCCTAACCCCCTAACCCTAACCCCCAACCCCAACCCCAAACCCAATCCCCATAAAAATACGGAGTGTGTTTTACACTATACGTAGGTACTACGTTTTTTTTTTTTTTTTTTTTTTTGGTGACTGCACAGGTAAATGCGCCGGGTGCAAAAAACATTACAAGAATGTGATTATGACGTCACGCATTCATTCACAGTCTAGACAGTCCTATAACCGGTTTGAACTGGTTTTACTGAAAACAAAAACACACACAAGACAGATTGTGATTTTCAATTTTTATTCACAATGAAAAAATACAAAAATGATTTTAATTTCCACTGTATCGGCATAAGGGACATTTTGGTAGGACGTCTAAAGAGTTTCTTCACACATTCCTCACAACACGGATATTGCCGACATTGTTCGCATTTCCATTGTCCTTGAGTCTTTTCCTGGTAGCACATCATACATTCTTTCAACGGTCTGTTCCTAGTCATTTTTATCCATCAGGCATGTTCTCAAATTCCCCTTTTTCCA